TGCTTTGATTCTGTTTTATTTTCCTATATTTTAATCATGTAAAGCACTTTGCATTGTCTTTGTACTGAATTGTGCTATACAAATACATTTGCCTTAAAATCTCCCTGAAATACACATCCAATGCTACTAAACAAGTCCTTTAATCATTTGGTGGAGTCCATTGGTGTGTGATTTCTGCAGAAATCCATCTGTCCTGTGAAGGCATCAGTTGCCTCTTAGTGGACATTAGTGCACAAATCATAGGGATGGAAGGGTTAGTTCTATTGCTGGTGGGTTGCTGGTTCTGAAACTAAGATGGACGGTTCCTGCTTTGTCTGTGATAAAATAGAGGTTGTGCGACCCTTGAATGTAAGACTGGATCCGCTGATAACATCAACCTGTGGGATTGTTACCTTGTTTGTCTTGCTGTCGCTGGGAATTCCTTCTGGGATAGATGGAGCAGCCGACGCTTCGTCCAAGTAGGAGGTATCATCATCAAGCAGCAGCTCATCCCCCAGGGCATCCAGCTCTGAAACACAGTGATTTATTCCAGTCCAATTTACATTTCATCTATTGGTTCCATTTCAGTGTGGTCTGTCCTGCTCATATGCCTCCCTTCATTTGCTATCAGTGGTCCTGCAGACATGACTGATAAGCAGGATATTATTTTCTCTCATCAATAGAGGAAAAAAACAAAAACAAGGCAGTGATGTTATTAGAGATCTGCTGCTGACCCATTTCTTTCATTACTTGTGATCAGTCTGTCGAAGGAGCCATTTGCCCAAAATATGACGAAAACATTTAAAGTTTTATGACCAACCTGCTTCAAGATCCTCTTCGTCGATGTCCGGCGTGCCGTAGCTGCGGCTCAGGGACTCCTGTACCTCGTTAGCTTCCTCCATCATGTCTTCCAACTGGTCTTGTAAATCCTGCAAGTCCAAAGCAAACAGTCTCCATTTTCAGTATAAACACTTTTAACAGGGAAAAGTTTAATTTTAATGAGACGCTGACCGTGTGCTATCAGGATGAAAACAGCTATATGTCTCATCGTGACTGGGTAAGCTGTCTAGGATTATCTCTATCCATCACTCCATCCTCTAAGATCTCACCTGCTTTTGGTTAAATTCAATTCACTTTTATTCGTTTAAGTAAAAACCCAAGCCACCCAAAGAGAAATGCATGATATTAAACCCCATCATAAGTAAAAAAATAAGTAAATTCCAATATAATTTATTTGGTTTACCAGCTAGGTCTTCTGATAAGCTGTTTCAAACAGGATTCCTCTCGTTAGCTGGATTTATTTACTGCCAACCCTCTAATGCATTTATTAAAATGCACACAGCCTATTTGGAAAGAAATTAGACCATAAAGACACAGAGAGATGTGTTGGTACCCATAATAAAGATGTATAACAAAATAAAATAGAATAACCAAATACAAATATAACATGGGACATGTGCCCATTTCTTTTAACAATGACTAACAGACTAAAGTAAAGGATTTTTGGGGAAGCAAGGTTGTGTTTTCATCAGTCAAAACGACAATTGTCCATGCAACTTCCTTGTTTTTTGTGGGTTTTTTACAATGCCAGTATCCCCTACTGAATAAATTAGATCAAAATATATAGCTCATATATATTTCTATTAATTAGAAATATATATTAAGAGATTAAGAGATCAATCAATGATAAGAAAGTGTTAAGAAACTGCTGCCGTGTTCTCACTAGAACTAAGAAATCAGCCTGGTTCTGAAGTCCTACCATTGGCTCCCTGTAGCTCAGAGAATAGACTTCAAAATGTTAGTCTATAAATCACTGAATAAATCAGCACCTCAAAACATAACTGGTTTGTTGTCAGTCTATCAACCTCCCAGACCATTCAGGTCTTCTAGTTCAAGTCTACTCTGTACCCCCAGAACTAGAATCAAACACAGAGAAGCAGCATTTAGTTCCTATGCTCCACTTATGAAAAGCGGTTACATTATATTTTTCAGTGTAGGGAGAGCTGCAGATTTAAGGTGAAACACATTTACTGGGATTACTGGGATGGATGGATGGATGGATGGATGGATGGATGGATGGATGGATGGATGGATGGATGGATGGATGGATGGATGGATGGATGGATGGATGGAT